GATAACGCCATGTCCGGGGCAGATGCTCTGGTGCAGGGCGGCGTGAACCTTTTCAACCGCGCAACAGGACGCCCGGTGGAGCGCACGATGGGCGAAGCGTTCCAGACCGGTCAGGACGTGCGCAACACCATGCTTGAAGCAGAGCGCGATGCCGCGCCGATCCGGTCCGCTCTCGCTGAGGGGATTGGCGGCTTCGCTGCGGCTCCAGCTCGCACCGCACAGGCGGGCGTGCAGGCTGCGCGCGGGCTTTCGGGTCTGGCGCAGAGTGTCGGCAAGGGCGCGGCTGTGGGGGCGGCAGGTGGCGCGACCTATGGCGCAGGAACTGCGGAGCGCGGCGAGGTTATGCAGGGTGCGCAGCAAGGCGCTACCATTGGCGGCGCACTCGGCGCGGCTTTCCCGTTGCTAACCTCGGCGGGCGGCGCGCTCGCGCGTCAAATCAAGACGCCGCGTGCAGATCAGCAGGTGTTGGGCGCAGCGCGACGGGCGGGCATTCCTGATAACCTCGACGACGCACTGTCTCGCGCACGCGAAGGCGATTTTGTGGCCGAGGCCGTGGGCGGTAATGCGCGCCGAGTGGCGCAGGGTGTGCCGGGCTTGTCAGAAGACGCTGCCGAGATCGCTAACCGTGCGATTGATGAGCGTCAGGCCGCGCGCTTTGATCGGCTGATGCAGGGTGTTCGCCAGGTCTCAGGCGATGACGGAACCCGCGCGGCGACTGTGAACATAAACCGCCTGCGTGAAGAGGCCGCGCCTTTATTCCGTCAGGTGGACGAGAATGTAATCAGTGCGACCCCAGCGATCCGCCAGCAAGTGCGTGACCTTCGCAGGGCGGGCGTCTCTTTTGCGGACGCTGACCGCTTGGCGGCTCTTGAGGGTGGCGGCAATGTCCGCCTGTCGGCCTTGGCGGATGATATGGACCTGCCCGACCAGGTGCGTCTTGGCGATGTTCGCGCCTTGATCGGAGCGGTTGAGTCCCGCGCCAGTCGCGCGTTCGGGGCCGGTGATGGTGTCGAGGGGCGAGCCTTCGCTAACCGCGCCCGCGCGCTTCGCAACGCGCTTAAGGAGGCAGACCCCAGCTTCCGAGAGGCGTCCCGGCTTTGGCACTCAGCGGCGCAAGATGACCTTGCCTTGAACCTTGGCCGTGACGTTTTTTCTGGTCGCGCCGGTGCTGCGTCTGAGCTTGAAGATTTTGTCGAGGGTGGCTTGTCAGCCAGCGAGCGCCGGGCCTTCATGCAGGGCGTGACCGAGGCGATAGAGTCCCGCGCGGCGCGCGCCTCTGAGCAAGGCGGCAATGCGGCCTCACGGTTCAATCCGCGCTATATCCGGGACCGGCTGCGGCTGGTGTTCGGCGAGGACGCCGATCAGGTTGTTGGCCTGCTTGATCAGCTCAATAATCAGGCCAGCTTTGAAAACATGGCAATGCGCAGCGTCAACTCTGCCACTCAAGGCCGGGCAGAGGCTGAGCGGGCCGCGCGAAGCGCCATGCGAACCGGTGCGGCAGACGCCATTCGAGATATTCGAGGGGCGGTCAGCTTGGCAGGCCCTCGGAACCGCATTGCGGATGCGGTGGCCGGAACGCCTGACCAAATGTCAGCGGATATGGCGCGTTTGCTGTTCCGCCCGGCTGACATGGCGGATCCAGACTTGCAGCGCCTACTGCAAGCGCAGGCTCGGCGTCGTGGCTTGTTTGGCCGCTCCGCGCCTGCCGCGCTTCCCGCTTATGTGGGGGCGCAGGGCGTCAATGTGAGCGGCAAAATCTAGTGCATTGCTAAGGTGAAGATCACCTTTAGGCCCAGCACGACAACCACAAACCCAGCGAAGGCGAGCAAAGCCCACCAGCTTTTGAT